TTTTCTGGGTTCAAGTGCCTCATTAAATATCTATCTGTCACATTTGTAGATAAACACATCTTATAATGCCAGGTTTGTTTTCAGATACACAATAAAAAACAAATGAAAAATATGTTTTATAATTTCATTACTTATCTGAAACTAAAGATTGGTAAACAGTTAACAGTTTTAAAGGGAATATCCTTTCTTTCTGGTGTAACAAACTTGCATGGCAGTACTCTAAAGGGGAGAGTCATATACATGTGCTCATGACAGTGAAAGTTATATGATAGATTCTATGCATATCATGAAATTCAGATTTCAATTATTTCAAATAATTTTGTTGACTATTGTAAAAGTAAAGTATAGTAAAAGTAAAGAAAAGTGTACAACAACAACACATCATATCTGCTACATCCAGTGCTGACGAGGCCACCAACCAATACCAGACATCCTCAGGAATACATCTTCATCAGCTATTAAGAACAAATTATCTTCCTAAACAAATTATTCATTTGTTCTTGATATATAGTTCTAAACTTTTTGGGGAAAATAACCTAACCTTTATACATTCATCACACATGCTATAAGCTAAAGATTTGTCTATAATTCTAGAAATTAAGTTAGCAGGTTCATACAGGAACTGATGTTACAATTTTTCCACATTACAAGTTTTTTTTCATGTTGCAGAACAGGTGACCTTCTAGAAATTCTTATAGTGCATGAAACTTTCCTCAAATATAGTAACTCTGAAACTAACAATGAGTTCGAATGTTTTTTTTTAACTTACTGATGTTTTACCAACCTGACATTTTGCAAAAATATTATTCATAATGGTTGGAGACGACTTGAACGGGTAATGAAGAAAAACTTTAATATAAGTTTAACATAACAGCAAATGTACAATGTTTCCACAAGGTTTTGTCATCATCAGGTACCAAAACCTTGTCGAATTGTTGTACATTTACTGTTATGTTAAACTTATACTAAAGTTTTTCTTCATTACCCATTCAAGCCGTCTCCAACCATTATTAGTCTCAAAGTGGGTTCCTCGTCATCGAATAAGGATATTATTTGTTATCTACATAAAGAAAGGGGTATAGACTTGATTTTCAAAAGGATTTTGATATGGTGCCCCACGAAGAAGTAGCTAATAAAATCATATCAGCTAGAGTGAAGAAAAGTTTAGTTAAATAGATTGTATGGTTGTTGGATGAGAAAAAGCAAAAGGTTGTTATTAATGGAGTCTAGTCAAAATGGATCCTTGTTACAGCGGAGTACCTCAGAGGTCAGTACTTGAGTCTTTGTTCTTTTTTTATTGACATTAATAATATTGATAGGGGTATAATAAGTAAATTAGTGAAGTCTGCTGGTGGCATTAAACTCTCAGGTATTTCTAACAGTAATCAGAATGTTTATGTTAAGTCAGAAAAATATTTGGCAAATTACCTTTAATTATAATAAATGTAAGGTAATATACTTGGATTATCATAATTTGGAAAACATTTAATATAGATGAAAACTCAAAAGCATGACTGAAGAAAAGGATCTTGGTTTAGTGGTAGATATGTCATTCAAGACATTAAAGCAGTGCTCTGTTTATATACATATTGATTACAACTAAAAAAAAAGGGTAAATATCTCTATACACAAATCCCTAGTTAGTCTTCACTTGGAATATTGTGTACAATTTTGATCTCCTTATTTAAGAAAGGATACTGACCTACTGGAAAGGGTTCAATAAAAGGACTACTGGGATGATTCCAGGTGGATTATTTTACAGAGATAGGTTAGGATCTCTTAACTTATTTTATCTTGAGAAAATAAGGATAGGAGGTGATATTATTGAAGTTTTCACGATTATCTTGGGGATTGAGATAGGACTAAGGCCTCTGGTTTCTTTGTGCTATAATCAAAAGATAACAGGATGAGAGCAGCCAAACAAGTTCATGAAAAGTAAAGGGTGCGTTTAATTTTTTAATTTTTCAAAGGGTAGGTGTGTAATGGTCAATTTTTGTTCATAGGTTATGTTATAACTTTTATTATTGGGTCCTTAACACCTTCCATAATTTACCCGAGATAACTCAGGCACCATCCATGTTTCAAAAAATATTTGCCCAGTTAAATTAGGTAAAAATTTTCTCACCATATTTATTATTTGCTTTTTTATCATATATTAAAATATTCTATCAAAAAACAAAATTAAAAAACTGATTTTTTCGAGATCACCCCCCCCCCCCACACACACACACACACACACACACAAGAAAAAAAACTGACACTGAAGGGGTTAATAACATGAGGTACACAGAAAAATATCATTTATATATTACAATTCATCCTGTTAAATATGGTTGAGTTGCCCTAATAATGAATTTTACACAGAAAATGATTTTTCGTTTATCAGTTCTTTACATTGAGTGCTGTAATGGGCAAAAAATAAAACTATGCAATATGATACAATACATGGGCCTCATCAATGGTGAAATATATAAAAACAATTTAGTAATTTCAGAGTTAAAGCTCACTAATTCAATTCTAAGCACTTCAAAACAGGAACCGTGTGATGACTAATATGTACTGTCATCTAAGAGCTTAACCAATCTAAATTAAAGAAAATGTGCCACTCTAGCCCTTCTTTTAAATTATTAACTAATAAATATTTTATTTATTTTTAATTTCAAAATAATTTCCATTATCAGTAATCCCCAAATCAAACTAAATTTCAATAACTGTCATTATATCAGTCTTCTGTTTCCTTCTGATATTCTTAACATTATAATAATAATAACAATCAAACTTATTTCTGATTCTACTATCTTTGTCTTTAAAATTAAGAGACCTGTCCTTAACTTCTTTTTCCAACCTCCTCTTTGCTCTTGTTATCCTATGAATGTTTATATTCTCAAACTCCCTCATCACTATACAAATGAAATTCTTTTGATCTTCCCAAACACTCTGCTACCAAGCCTACTTAAATATAGTGCATTTCTAGTATATATTTCAGTCTTAACCTGAATAAAACATTTATTGGACTTACTGTTGTGTGATTGTAAGTTTATTTCTTGTCTATTAGTTCTTAAATATGAGGCAAAAATAATTTAGTATAAATAATCCAATAGTGATAAATGTGATTAGTATGTAGTAAGTATCCTAATAGGATTTAAGTTGATTCTAAAGTATTGAAAAATGGCACTAGATTCAAATGAGTATATTAGAAATTTAACTTTTGAACTTTATTGCATATTCGTTAATGATATACAATACATAATATGAAATAAAAAGGACTAACTTATAGTTTATAAATGCATTCACAAGTAATCATTAACAAAAATATTAAACAACCTAAATAAAGTTGGCAAAGAAGAATTATGGTGGTTGTAGACAGGAGTTTGAATAACACAAGAAAGGCTGAAGATATCCAACAGCTAATAAAACAACTTACTAATAATAGCAACAAAAAAACAAAACTAAACAGTCATTCCCATCTTTATCACTGATCAAAAGACATTTAGAATAATTAAACAACACAAACCACATTATCATATAAATCCTTCCACAAGTTTATAGCTTTAACCAAAAATAACTTAGCTAAAGAATGTGTCTGCATCTATATTTCCTAATTTTAACCATAAAAGTTCTAATTTTCACATTTACAATTTCAACCTTTTTATTCAGCCATACAAACAATTTAAATACTTGAATCAAATCACCTCTGGCACTTCCATGCCCACATCAAAACTTTACGCTTCTCTTTATCATTCATATTTCTTTAATTTTGGTATTGACTAGATGTGCCAAAATGACACCTGCTTCAAATACAAGCTAAATTAAAAATAGATATATATATAATTACAAACTGAAGTTATAATTCTACTAATAACAATCATTATGAACAAGCTGGCTGTGATTATTTTTTGAAACTCTAATGCAATGTGGCTGCCAGTGCCATAGAATGTACAATTGAGAAACTTTAAATCATAACTTATTTTGTATAGTGTTATCTTTACACTAATAATTTCTGGAAAGGATGGACAGATGTGATTTGGGCTGTTAATCTGAATTCTATTATTCTAAGCTCCAAAAATTTTTATTGCTATGTAGACATTATTAAAAGCTGGGACAAAAAATAATGGATTTTTTTTCACAGCTAAAAAGCACAAGTCATATGTGTAATTTGTTCACAGACTGACCTTCTATGTACCTTTATTCATGTGTTATTGTTGTTTTATAGATAAAAAAAGATAAATGTTTACAACTAAGTGTTTATATGACTGATTTTCTAGATTAAAATCAATAATACTCCTAAGTGTGTAATATGTGAAGTTTATAATTCACTTTTGGGTTTTTAAGTAGATCATTTATATCAAATTTAACATAGTTCAGCTAAGTTTTCAATAATCATAACTCAGACATATCTAATTAAATCTCCTAATTGGTTATTTACCTTTAAAAAGTTACAAGTGGAAATGCATCACCATAAATTAGTATATTTCTTTTAAATTTTACTGAAAGCAGAAAGCAATTGTTTTTCATGTAGAAGTGTTCATTATGTTACTCATGTCTCTAGACAATGCAGCTACATTTTCAGTTGTTTATCCTCCCTCGAGATATTTAAGCTACACCCAAATGAAATTATTTTCTCTCTTCACTTTATATAAGCAATTCAGCTATTGTTGAATAGTAAATTAAAATTTCTTGGACCAACATTAATTCTAGTGAAACAATAATTCACCAAGATTTTTAGCATAAATACAAGCATGAATACAAGTTCAACAAGTTTATGGATGAAATGTTTTATTTCTTTTTAGCAAGAATATGGAAAAATTGGAAACTTGTGTGGTTAACTGAGTGTTTACCTCAGTCAATGTCAGGTAAGAGTAAGATGTTTTTGGTTTTTGTGGTTAACTGATTCTTTTATATACATACCTTAATATATCTAAATCTCTAACTTCCAAAACATTGTGTATGAAAATATGTGATAATTACTTAACAATAATGATAAAGTGGCATTTTCGTACCTTGGAATTGTAATACATTTGGTCTTTGAATCCTGAGTTGTAATGGATTTTTCAAGTTCATCCAATCCTCCAGTTTTCTTAAGTTTTTTGTACCAAACTTTTTACTGCTTTTTCACTCCATTTGTCTTCACCTTCTCCCTTTTTCCATCCGAGAAGTCGTTTGACAACAGGAGGAGTAACTGGAAGAATTGATGTCATGTTTTTTTACAGTATTTGTGCAAGTTTTTCCTGATATATAAAAACAGTGCTGTCTAAATACGTCAAATCTTCATTACCACACTCACAAACGCAAAGGTTCTTCAACTATTAATAACTAAAGTAACGAACATCCCCTCAGAGTTACCAGTTCAACTCAACAGTCAGGTTTCTACCCACCATAAATAAGTTGGCGTATCACACCCAAATATTAACCTCACCTACCGCACAAATATTAAGTTACTATTAGAAAAGCTTCTAAAACTTAAAATTATCCAGTTTGAAAAGACTGATGAAAACTGTTCGGTTATATCTGACATTTTTGTATTTTACAAAGCCTATAAAACAATTAATTTTCTCCCCAAACCCATACAGGTACATTTCTCATAATGACACAGACACAAAGTGACAGCGCCTAAATACATTACATTTTAGTAACTCACCCTCAGTGGGAATGACACTTCGCCCACGGTATGGCGCTGCAATTTTGTTTTAAGAAATACAAATTGTAGAAAAAGAGAAAAAAACAACAATACATTAACAATATTATTACAATAATTAACAAAATTTAGTAAATACAAATACTTATATCATAGACAGTTAGTAATTACAGTATATCATATAAAATATATCTTGAAATAGTACATGCCAAACGCTACGATAAGATATAAAACATATTTCTATAACCAAACATGCAACTAACCTTATCGAATTTAAAATAATTTATTGCGTGAACAATTCTTCTTTTGTCAGAATAGTTTGTTTGATACAGTTTATATGTAGAAATGACATTAGAGTAGTTTTAAAAAATTATATTATCGTTATTAGTTATTTTTGTCTTGAGTCAGACAAGCAATTATGCCGAAAACATAAACTTGAAACTTCGGCAAAAAATATTTAAAGTTATTCGTCTATATTATCAAGAATATAACCAGATAATAAACATATTTTGTTTCTATTATGTGTACTTTTCGAATTTACTCTTAAACCCTTTGATAGAAAACTTCAAGTTTGAATAACAAGCATATGATTCGGTGAAAATGCTAGCTTATCAGCAGTGGCCTACGTCGGACAAATGCAAAGTAATTACAAATTTCGGTTTTATGTAATATGGCATTGTTAGAATGAAATATACAATATCTGAAATAATAACAAAAAAAATGGATATGAAGTACAAACCTTGTGAAATTGCTTTCCCTCTATAGTATGAAGACGTCAACATTCGTGTACAGTCGTGTGTTAATAGATTAGAGCATGACTGTTTGTTTGTTTGTTTTG